ATTGTGATCAAGACGCTGGTATGGAGTACGGCGGCGATGAGGACGCTGGCATGGGGTATGGTGGTTATCAGGACGCTGGTATGGGTTATGGTGGTGATCAGGGTGCTGGTATGGGGTATGGCGGTGATCAGGGTGCTGGTATGGGGTATGGCGGTGATCAGAACGCTGGTATGGGGTATGGCGGTGATCAGGGTGCTGGTATGGGGTATGGCGGTTATCAGGACGCTGGTATGGCGGTGATCAGAACGCTGGTATGGGTTTTTTTTTTATGGCGGTGATCAGGGTGCTGGTATGGGGGTATGGCGGTTATCAGGACGCTGGTATGGGGTATGGCGGTTATCAGGACACTGGTATGGGGAATGGCGGTGATCAGGACGCTGGTATGGGGTACGGCGGTGATCTGGACGCTGGTATGGGGAATGGCGGTGATCAGGACGCTCGTATGGGGTATGGCGGTGATCAGAACGCTGGTATGGGGTATGGTGGTGATCAGAACGCTAGTGTGGCAGTGATCAGGACATTGGTACGTGTGTGTGATGGTGTTATTGTGAGCACTGGGACAGATTACAGGGCTGTCTGCATTGTTTGTTATTCTAACACTGAGGCGGTGATCAGGGACGCTGGGGTGGCTGGCACTCTAGTCTGTGAGTGTACGTACGCTGTGACAAGCATTGTACACTCACAGACTGCAGCATCACTTCTCTCATAGTGAGAGCAGAGAGAACCGATGCTTGCTTTCAGTTTCTAGTATTTACTATGTGATTGCTGTGATTGGACACAGCAATCACATGGTAAAACACCATGTGATCACCGGGACACAGTGGTAATATGATCCGCTGTGACCGGGTGACACACGGATCATTGGGCTTCCTGGTGCGCGCTCTGTGAGCCGCACAGGAGCCACCGATGCGGGCTGATGTACAGGTGTGTTAGCCCGACATCAGCACTGCTTTATGGGCTATGGGCAGACAGGAAGGGGTTAAAACCTAGTAACATCATCCCTGGGTCTCTGTGCTTCTCTATTCAACAAAGACAGATCATGGCTGGTGAGAGGGATGGAAAGTGCCATGCATAGCTTACTAAAAAATATTGCAGCACCCTGCCTCAATGCTCCTCTCAGGACCCCCCAGCTTTGACGCACTCATTGGGCTGATTTTTTGGAGGAGTTCTGAAAGCCTCAAAATGCTTTGATGGGTGGGTGGGCTACATTTTTATGCAGACCACCCAAGGTAACACCCACATATGATGCTGGGCTTCCATGAACAAAAGAACTGAAATCCAGTGAATGAAAGTGGGCAGGCCAGTGTAAGTCAGGCTGGGAAGGAAAGGACTACTATGATTTGGGACATCTTCCAGCAAGGAAATGAGACCGGCTCTGTGTATTTTTTTTAAATCCTGCAGTGTAAGTAATTGAACGTGACCTGGTATCAGCCTCTTGCAGTCTGTTTACAACAGAACTCAGACTGTGAGAGGAAGAATTCAGCACATGGGCCCAATCAGTTCAAGTGCCGACAAGAAGCATGCTGGTAGGAAAGAGCAGAGTGCCAGAGAGCTAAATTCATCACTGCGCTGCTTCTCCTTTCACAGTCCATTCACAGGCTGGGGGTTGGTCCGGGATGACCTTAGCTCAGAGGCAGTGGGTGGAATTATGCTGGCCATCTAGCAGCAGAAAAAAAAGTGCTTTGGAGAAAATCTCTGAACAGGTTGACCTTTTATTTTATTTTTTTTGTCTCGGTGACCTGAATCACTTTAGTAAAGAACGAAAAACAGAGCGCACCAACCTTGCGCATTACCTCAGTAAGCAATTAGTAGATTTATTGATATAGGAATTATACGCACAAGATGCTACTGCCAGACTCATCCACCTTACTAACCGTTCTGTATCTGCCGCCCCACTCTGCCAATCCCTCCACTGGCCTCCACTCAGTGTCCTCCATCCCTCTCAGCCAATCCCTCCACTGGCCTCCAC